TCCTACCACTGTTCACCTTTTGGATCTGTTGTCATTCCTGGATCAGCAGCAAACTGTGCTTTTGCAATTTGGAAGTGAAGCGGGCTTGACTTTTATCGGACAAGTAATTTTTTCTCTCGTCGCACAGAACTCTGGTGGTCTTATTTTAAAGATCTTTTTGAGAATCACCAAAGCATCTTACTACCACTCCTTCTAGTCGCTATACAAAGCGATAGTTGTAAACTTGGTCCGCCTTTGTGCAGCCACTGTCGTCAATAGGCCGTATTTTCCAAATCGTTATGCCTTGCCTCTGTCCTACGTTGCATCGCTACCTACCCACATACTTGCTGGATCAATAGCACGCACGTCGCAAATCTGTACTAAGGAACGGGTGACTCAGCTGGACGCCACACGCCTGACCACCCTGACCTCAAACCAGCGCCGATCGCCGTGCAACGAAAACTGAAGCGAAGCGGTGCGTCAGTCTCTCTTTCCTCTTGTTACCCCTGTTGTAGTGTACACATCCAGTTACTCCATTCCATCTTGTTCGTGATGTATCTCTACACCATATCACCACCATCTGCGGTCATTCCCACTTCGCTGCCCCATTACTGACCGTGACCACATAATTCGGTAGAATTTTCCATTCTAAACTAGTGGTAAGTGAGAGATCTACAACATAGATTCTAAACTCTCCTTTTCTATCTAATCCCTTCGGGAATTGGTGCAAGTCAAAATAACAAAGTGCATGCCTTAAGTGGATATGGCCCATTCGAAAATCAATTGTGACCTATGTGAAAAACTGTTAAGTCTGGTCCAGTTTGCTTTAACGGTCAAAAAGCGTACCGTTCGAAGTGTTTAGGGATGAGTGCACTCGAAACTAGACAATACAGCTGCAAAACCGAAGCATTTTGGTTCTGCCAGGTGTGCAAATCCATTCCTGTCGTTAGTTGTGTAATTCTCCTAATGAAAAAGTGTGAAACGTTGGGGGAAGCAGTTGAGCAACTGGTGAACGTTCGCAACGCAGCTGTGAAAGTAAACAACGCTATACTTGAAACTGAACGGACACATACAAACTCCCCGTTTAGGCCGAGGAAGCGGGCTAGGCATCCCAACCCCACCATTGCTTCTCAGTCTCCAACGGCACCTAGCCTCATGACTCCACTAAGTGAAAAGGTGGTTTAAAACCCAATTGCTACTATGTCCTCCAAGGGTGTAATAACTAGTAATTCAATTGACATACTCGACACACAAAACTCCAGCAAGCCCACGGTAAAAAATAACTAGACATCCTACGCAGCAGTTGCTTC